CAAAGCCAGTGAAGAACGTTTCCAAGTGGGGTTAGCAGTGCCCCACCAAGTAGAGGAAATTATGGGAGAAAGGAGTTGAAAGTTAAACTGGTGGGTAGATTCACATTGTGTTAAGCCAAATGTCTTTACTCCTGTGACAGAGCTGGGGCATGGTTCTGAGGAGGTGGAGAGAAGGTGAAGATTTGCTGGCTCTTTGGGGGTTCGTCCTGGGATGAGTCTGGGTGAGGAGGAGGGCTAAGAGAGACAGGCGATTGGGGTGAGGGGCCACAGGGTCATCAGTGTATCACACAGCCGCCTTTCTCCTTGAAGGGATTTTTGTCCTCAGGGATGCCTTTCAGAAGAGGGTCGTTTCCTGCTTGGGCCTCCACAAAATTTTTAATTTCTTTTCCTGTCTTGGAAATCTGTGAGGAAAAATAAGACGGAAATAGCCCTTGTTTCTCTCAAAAGGCCAGGGAAGAGAAGCATGAAGGGGACAGGTGGGTGTGAGAGGGATATTGATAAAGTGTTAAAAGAGAGACAGACAGAAAGAAGCTGGCCCCAAGCAGCGAACAGGCCTTTATTAGTAGACCTGAGAGGGAAGCCAAGTGACCTCAGAGGAGATCAAAATGGCTCACAGGCAAAGACTATTTCCTTTTATAGGGGCTTTTTGGGAGAGTTAGATAAGGTGGTAGTTTGCTCAGGAATTTGGGGCAGGGGTGCTGTCAATCGGTGATCAGGCCCAGGGCCTTATCAGGATCTGTTCATCTGGTCACCTTATCAGGAGATGGGCATTATCAGCTTTCCACAAGGAATGAATGATTAGGCCTGAGAGTTGGGCCTGTGACATTCTTCCTCCACATGCCTTCCTTGGCTGACTCTTAGCTTGGTGAGATGGTTTGCTAGGCTCAGCTCAGGGGTGGAGCTAAACACACTGAGTTTCCCAAAGCTCTGAGGGCCTGTATTCTGTCATAGAGTGCAGCACTTCTATGGGGTCAAATTCCAACTCTCTTCCATACCCTACTTCATCCCAGAGCATTTCCTGTTCCCATACCCCCAGAGAGGTTCCACTATCCCATGTTGTAGCCTCTCCTTTGCACCCCAGATCCCTTCAGGAACAGGGAGAGACAGAGAGGACATTGAGGGGGCTCACCGGCTCTCTTGTATTCCTCACTTCCTTCTTCAACTGTTCCACCTCCATCTTCAGGAGCTCCTTTTCGCTGAGATCCTGGGCCATCCTCCCCTAGGAAGACCTGCTGTCCGAAAGGGACCATCATCAGTGAGATGCTAATTCCCTGAGTTGCCCTGGGTCCCCCTCTCTGCACTATGGGGCCTCCACGCTCAATATCTCAACTGCTATCCTCCTCCCTGCAATGTCACTCAGGTGAGTACCCTCATCATTCAACAGTTAGGCAGTTGCCCAGGGCACCCTGTGAGGAGTAGGAAGCACATAGTTTGATGGGGAAGACACAATAACCGAAGGAGGAGAAAGGGAACCAGAACATTGGGAAGGAAGAGAAAAGGAACTTCTTTCAGTGAGCAAAGATTTAGAAAATATAGTTAGCTCCCCATGCAATGACAGGGGTAGAAGTGTCCTTTGTTGTCCCAGGTCCTCGCAATAAAAGAAAGCATCCTACTGAATAAGAAAATGAGCCCTGGAGTCTGTCTACCAGTTTCCAGGTCTGATCCCAACTGTTCTGCTTTCCTCACTGTAACCTTAGGGAAGTCACTCTACCTCCCTGGGTCTTTATTTCCCCATTTGTAAAACGTGTATAATAAAAGCACCATGCATGTGTAATTATTGTGAATACTGAGAAAAGAACGCCTATTAACTACCTTCACTCACCGCCTGGCACATAATGAACACTGCAAACATTTAATATCAGTATTACATATCATCATCATCATCATTTTTACTAGAGTTGTCTGAGCCCTTCCGAAGGCCTAACCTCGAGAATTCTTAGACCCCAGCCCCGCTCAACCTTATCCGCTCTCACCTGCAAGGAAGGAGAATGCCCTGTGAAGCCACTTGTGTGCTGGACCAGACAAGATGGGGTGTGAGCCTCCTAGCTCCTTCTCAGCAGCTGAAAATCTTCGGATAAAGCAGATGGTCTGGAAGCCAAAAGCTCTGATGCCTAAGCTGATCAGAGGCTCAAGGGTCTAAGTCCATCCAACACTGGAGCCGCCAAGCCCTCCCTGCAGCGGGAGCAGAGAGGCTAACGTTCTTTCCACCAGGAAGCACCAGGAAGCAGAGGCCACCTGCAATCTCTAACTCACCTTCTTACTGCCCTGACCCCTTCACCACCCGCCACCGGTTTCAGCCCTGGGCCTGGCTCAGCGTCTCGGCTGGGCCTGAACTGGCCCCTGTTACCATCAACCCTGTCCCAACTGGAAACATGGCCTGTTACAGACTGCACTACTTCAAGGGGTGTCCCAGGCTGTAGATGACCAGCTTTTCTCCCACAGCCCTGCCAGGTGGCTTTAAATCTGTAATAAACTTTTGGTTAGTAGCCAAATGCAAACTCATCACATTTCAATTTTAAAAGCATAAAAATATATATTTAAATAGAAAATTTAAATAAAATGAAAATAGAAAATGTAGATTTCTATTATTATTAATTATTATTTCTAATATTATTAATCAAATAACAAACCAATTCTTTAATAAAGAATTAATTCAATTGTATTTAAATAATAGAAAAATATTTGTTATGTTTAAAAAGTAGACCTATTCTTAAAATTTATATTTATCAAAATTTATATTTAAAAAACATAAAAACTTCTAGCCTCTCGGTTAGTAGACACATGCAGTCGGCTTGTACTCCCTCCGGAGTTAGAGACCCTACCAGCACGCCTGGCTCCTCCTCCCCAAGCCCTCCCCGCCCCATCTCTGAGTCGATGCTGCGCTGCAGTGGTTTTTCTCAATGCGACAGGATCTGATTCCTCCGCTCCTTACATCTGTCGTCCGAAAAGACTCCACGTGCTGTCAGATTTCCAAATGTCACTTCAAAGGTCCCCCCGCTTTGCTTCACTATTCAGTAACAACGTGCTCCTCGCCTCCACGTGTGTGCCAGGTCACACCTGTGGTTCACTGGAACATCTGTGCCCATGCTGCTTTGCCTCTTGTCCTCCTTCGGACCCCTGAGTGTGGGTCTCCCTGTAACAGTTCCCAGCACAGGGCCTGTGTCCTTCCAGTTTTTCCCTTGTCTCCTGAGACTGCCTGAGGGCTGCCCTCTAACAGACATGGAGCAGGGCTCTGGCTAGTGGCAGTCAATGACCAGTGACCATCACAGGGATCAGATGCCTTTAAGGGGCGTGCCTGGCTGGTAAGTGAAAGTTTACAAGCTGAAGTCTTAGGGCATCAATGGAAGAGAGGTCTGGCAGTCCACATCTGAAAAGTCCATTCTCGTGGACTCTATAGAGACCACTTCTACTCCAGCACAAGGGAGGGGGCTGCCATGAATTGACTCAGTGGTAAGTGGGAGGAAGAGGGGTCAGTGAAGACTCCTCATTTCGTGCCTCCATGGTGACAGACTGGGCATTAAGAGGGGTGAGAAGGAGGCCCATGACCCATCCTGGCCTTATTCACACAGTCCCTACTCCAAGATCCACTCATACCTGTGAAATCTTAGGATCTGAGATCAGGACAGGCCCATTGAGGTCATCAAGGTCTGTTGTTGTTACATGCCATCGAGTCACCTGGGACTCATAATGACCTTATGTACAATAGCTCTGAAGCCTGCCCTATTCTGAGCCAGTCTCACTGAGTCTGACACATACAATTACCCCAGTTACTGTGTCAATCCATCTCATCTGGGGTCTTCCTCTCTTGTGCTGTCCCTCTACCTTTCCAAGCACGATTTTCTTCTCCAAGGACTGGTCCCTCCTGGCCATGTGACCTAAGTACGTGAGAAGGAGCTTCAGAATCCCAGCCTTCAAGGAGAATCTTGGTTTCACACTCTCCAAGACAGACCTCTTTGTTCTCTTGACGGTCCATGGTATGGTCAAGACTCTTCTCCAGCATCACAACTCAAAGGAATAGATTCTTCTTCTGTCATTCTTAGTCATTGTCCAGCTCTCTGACACCCAGAAAGTAATTACAAAGACCATGACCTGGATCAGGCACACCTTAGTCTCTAGACTGACATCATTGCTCTTCAATACACTGGAAAGATCCTTGACAGCAGATTTTCCCAATGCATTTCCACCGTAGCTGACCCTCCAATGGGTTTTCAAAGGTAGTAGATTGCATAAAAGCTCTTCCTTTCTCCTGTGGAGTAGCTGGTAGATTCAAACCATGTACCTTTGGGTGGGCAGCAACCCTTCCACTAAGCCACCAGAGTGCCCTTGGTAAAGAGTACAGTCTGCGAAACCCTACAAGACAGGTCTACTCTATCCTGTAAGGTCAGAACTGAATGGATAGCAATGGGGTTAATCCTTCAGAGGCTTCACTGTTTCTCATTGGAGCAAAATCTCTACCCCAATATTGGTCCCCACCTTCCTGCTGCCCCCAGCATGACTGGTCTCCATATCCTATCCACCTTCTACACCCCAGCCTCTTGGTGACTCATCCCGGAGCTTCCCAAGGAAGCCGCCACCCTCTGCCCTTCCTCCCCCCTTGATGAGTGGAAAATCCATCTCCACCCCCTATAGCAGGCCAGCCCCCTTCCTCCTCAGTCTCCCACCCCATCCCCCCAGCGTCCAGTTTCCTCTCTGAGACCAGGAGCAATCACAGCTGCCCTGGCCTTGGCTTCCTCTTCTGGGACAGATTGGGGGGCTGGGCCCTCAAAGGGGCCCCTGGCTTCCCCCACCTCTGGGCAGGGGACAGAGAAGCACTAGCCCAGAGAGAGGGACTGACTTCCTCTTGTGCCGGAATGAGCCTCCCTGCCCTTTGCGAGCAGGTTTGGGTCTCACGCAGAGGAAACCAAAAGCAGTAAGAGGGAGGGGAGACAGAGCAGCCAATCAAGTGCAGGGTGAAGCTCAAAACCAGCGGGCTCCCCCAAGAGCAGCCAGAACTGGGGGCCATGTCGGAGTTGCAGCAACTACAGGAGTTTGAGATCCCCACTGGTCGCGAGGCTCTGCGGGGCAACCACAGCGCCCTGCTGCGGGTCGCAGATTACTGCGAGGACAATTACGTGCAGGTAAGTGGGGTGGGCACAGGCCTGGCACCATAGCTAGGCTAGGGGCCCCGGAGCCCCAGGGTTGGGCCACAGGATCCAGTCCGACAGGTGCTGGAGAGGACTGGGCAGATAGTCGTGCCTGGGTTGAAAAACCCTTCAGGCTTAGCTCTGGCTTCGTTCCTTCTTCCAATACTTAACCCTGATCTGTGGCCCCTGTCCACACTTGGACCCCTCTCTCCCGCAGTTAGCCAAGCAGAGCTGCCCCATCATGGTGTCCAGCCTAACCTGAGGTTCACCAGCTTCATACTCTCCCACTCAAACCTAGAGCACTAGGGGCCTGGCCCCATGATTCCATTCCAGGCTGATTCTAGGACTTCCAGGTCCTTCAAAGGAGATGCTATTCAAGGTGAACATGAGATGGACACGAGAAAGAGGTGGAGTTCTCTCCCTGATATTTTGATAATTGAGAGATATCAGACTGGTTGGCGCAAAGAGGGAAGACCTGGTATAGACAGATGTCTGGACATGACATTTAAGGCAGGCTTCCAGCAAAAGTTGAGGATGTGGTATTTTAGAACAATTTTTAAAAATTCTGTGGTGGTTCCAGGACAGAGGATGTCGATTCCTGGATTATTGAGTTCCTCTGTTATTTCATTAGCCTTCATAACTACGTGATGAGACAAGTATTATGTTGTAGAACTGGAATAATGGGACCTGGACAGCAAAGTTCTCATGGGTTAGTGATAAGGACCTGTGTTGCCAAGTGCAAAGGCACACGGTTGGAATCCACTCCTAGCAATCACCTTCTGTGCAATTTACTGCCTCTGAAAACCCGCTGGAGGTTATGACTGGATGGTACATAGCAATAACACATTGTGGATGAGGAAAAGCTCAGAGAGGTGAGGTGATTCATCCAAGGTCACACAGCATGGAAACAGCACGGCAGGCATCAGTCAGGCCTCCCTGACTTCTGTAGCCATGCCCGTTCTTCCCCATCATTCTCCCTACAGGATCCTTAGTTCTGCCCTCAGTTTCTTCCATGCCCTTAAGAGTTACGGTCTTAACCTGTTACCAAAACCAGAAGACTAATCCTGTTGTCACCAAGTCATTTCCCACTCATGGCTACACAGTAGACGTACCCTCCAACTGCCTTCTAGGGCTTTAAAAAAATGGTTTTTTTTAGGCTGTAACTTTTCAAAAGCAAATTGCCAGGCCTTTCTTCCTACATACCTCTGGGAGGGTTCAAATTGCCAGCCTTTTAGTTTGTAGCTAATTGCTTAATCTTGTGCTACTTAGACAAAACGCCAATTTTTCTAATTTGTGCTAATTCAATTACCAGAGGAGACTTCCAGCATAGTATATGTAAGAGTGGGGGGCGGGACCAAATGCTTGAGAAAATGGCAACTTAAAGAAAGCAAATTTGAATAGCATCTCCAATTCTCTGTGCCCTTGCTTTGGGTCAAGGTGTGTTCCTTGCATGGCCTCAGTTAGTCTTCATCCCAGTCCTGGCGAGTAAAATATCATCCCATTTCACAGATAAGGAAGCTGAGGTCTGCAAAAACCAAGTTAGTTTCCCAAGACTTGCAGGCTAATGACAGAGCCTAGATTTAAGCCCAGAAATTCCACCCCAGGACCCACCTGGCAAACCTCTGGCTGAAAAATGCTACCTTGTGTGTAATTTCTGGGGAGAGTGAGTGACCGAGCACTTTGTAGATGGTACACAGTTTACAAACTAGCTCCACATACCAAGTGCTTAAAGAAATATTCCTAAAACCCAGGAGGAAGGCAATTCATTCCTTTCCTTCAGAATCATCTGTGGGTGGTGTGAATGGTGACCTAACACAAAGGTTGGAAGTTGGAATTTACACAGTAGCATTCCAAAGGGCCTCACTCTCTACTCAAGAAAATTCACCCACTGAAAACAATCTGGAAAGTGTGTACAGAGGGGTCACCAGGAGTCAAGCTGACTCCGCACAAGTGGTTTTGCTTTTAGTTTGGTTCTATTGCAAAGCCTTCTGCAAATCTCACCATGTGTCTAGATGGGCTCCTGCTTGCACACATAGCACGCACAGCGCGCGCACACAGGCTTTGAGGGTCACAAAGACCCAAGTCTAATTTCCACTTTTGTCATCTATCAACAACAGGATCTGTGACAAGTTTCCCCTCTCTGATCCTTACATTGTCTCATGGAGATGATTACTACTTGGGTTAACTGCGATAATGTATTAATGTCCACCAACAACAGGCTTAAGCATGGCAGAGATTGTCAGATTGACACAGGCTCGAGCAGGGTTTTGGTCTGCTGTATGTAGGGTCGCTGTAGGAATCAGAACCAGAGCATAGACATCTAAGAACAACACTACTAAAGTATTTAGCCTTAAGTAGAGCGATATAAATGGCAGTTACTGCCATTACTATAATTATTATTAACTTGAGAGATGAAAGGTGTATCATGGATCAATAAAGTCACAGTCCTAGGTAAATCAGCTCTTTCAAAGGACACCCAGGGCACAGGAAGCCCAGATGCAGATTGGAATCCCAAGACTCCTGCTTCCTTCATGCACGACACTAAAGAGGCCTCTGAGGATCTGTCAAGGCAGCAAAAGCCTCGGAAGGGTCTGAGCAACTTCTCATGACCACTTTTGCTAAGGCCTGGCTCCCACGGCCTTCACTCCTTCACCCCCAACCAGGTGTCAGGAAACCCGGGGTAATGGGGGGGGGGGGAGCAGGTAAAGGAGGTTGATTTCACATCTGTGCTTTGCAGACTTCTCAGGGCAGGGCTGACCGAGTTTACACACAAAGTCATTTGCATCATGAACAAGTAGTCAACCTTGAAGATAGATCTCAGGCTGTGTTGTTAAAATCTCAAGACCAAAGCCAGGGGTCAGTGGAGATCAAGGCTCTTTGGATTGGACCCACACAGCCACTTCTGCCATTTGGGCTGACAGTTCTACATTCTGGAAAAGATGAAATGAAAGAATCTAGAAAGATCTTTCTTCACCTATTAAAGGAAGACCTTGAACTAGTTAAACCTGCTATCCTATCTGGTTTGGTTTTTTTAATTGTGATTTGCATGAGAGTTTACAAGTTATGTTGATTTTTAATTAAATCATTTATACACATTTGTTTGACAGCATTAATTGCAATTAACTAGTGGAATTAATAAATTACAACATCTGATAAATCCCTTATTGGATATTATCTTCACCTTACACTCAACTTAGTGTGTACTGAGATCTGGTGGCCTGTTGTTGTTGTGCACGGTAGAATCAGAACTGGCCCATAGCTGACCCTCCAGCAGGTTTTCAGAGGCAGTTAATCACATGGGAGGAGACTGCCCATCTTTCTCCTACAGAGCAACTGGTGGTCTTGAACTGAGTGCCTTCAACTACTGTTGCCAGTAGACCACCAAAGCTCCCTAGTGGTAAGGAATTGTGCTGCCAGCCCAATTTGGCCAGCAGTTCGAAACAACCAGCTATTCCACAAAAGAACAATGCCGTTTACAAGCCTCTGAAAACCCACTAGGAGCTATGAGTTCGTTCTGACTCTACAATATACAGCAATATACAGCAACAACATTTTCTACTTACTTGTTTTTGTTTTTACTTATTAGTTTTAACTCGTCTTCCTCTCCTTATTTGGCTTTAATATTTTGGGTTGATTTTTAAGGCACCTTGGTGGCTCAGTGGTTGAGCGCTTGTCTACTAACCAAAAGTTTGGTGGTTCAAAACCACCAGCCACTCCAAAGGAGAGTGATGTGCAGCCTTAGAAACTCTATTCTGCTGTGAATCAGAACTGACTTGCTAGCAATGGGATTTCTTTGTTGTTGTTGTTTGGGTTCATTTGTCTTTTTCCAGTTCTTGGTTATGTATGTTGATAAGATATGAATGGACATGCAAATGAGCATGTCTTCCTTAAGACAAAGCAGCGAGGAGGAAAACCTGAGGGCCAGCCCTTAGTCCCACCTGCCTTAGGCAGCAGTGCGGACACCCAGGGCCCCTCTCTAAAGATGCTAGACCTGCCCTCCACTGATAGACCCTGAGGGGCACCCAGAGAACCTCACTAAGAGACCCAAGGGTGCATGCAGGCTTGCTGTCACTAAGTCCTGTGCCACTGTCCCACTATCGACTGGGGGAAAAGATACAAGCTAGAGTCCAGCAACTCCAAGACCCAAGCCAGACCTAAGAGGAACAGCTGAGAAGTTTGGCCCCGGCCCACAGTCTAATCTGGGACTGAGAAAAATTTCTGTCTTCAGCCATTCCCTTCCCACCCTTCTACCACTGACTGGAAGCAACTCCGGCCAACGTTTGGCACGCTTGGCATACAGTAGGAAATGGTCAACAAGTGCTTGGCATCTCATGTCTACTAATTAACTTGCAAATGCGTGTGTATATGTATTTATTATCCTTGTGTATCAAACAGAATTCTAGGTCTTAGACATCCTCCTCACACATTTCTGTAGAGAGGGAAGAGAGAAGGGGATAACAACAACAACAAAAGGAAATAATGAAATAATTTCTGGTCATGGTAAAATGTGACAAATAACTCAAGATAAAAATGAGAGGATTTTTAAAAAAATATATGGAGGTTAGTGGGGTAAATCTTATACAGGGTTGTGAGAGAAGCTGTCTCTGAGGAACAGGGATATGAGATGAAGATTCTAAAGATGAATAGCAAGTTCAAAGGCCCTGAGGTAGAAACAATCTTGGCTTCATCAATATGGCTGAAGGCATGTGAAGATTGTAGAGGATGAAAGCGGAGGGGGGGAAAAAAAAGAAAGTGGAGAAAAAGGCAGAAGCTAACTCTTGTGTAGAGACCATTGTTAGGAATTTGGATTTTATTCTCAGTGTATTGGGAAACTATTGAAAGGAATAATAGAAGAGGCTCCTCTGTAGGTCTCAGCTTCTAAATATGTAAAGATGGGGCAGACCACTGATTTCCAAACACTAAGCTTGGCTCCACAGTCAACAGTCTTGGCACCAGCAGCCAGGAAATTAAAAGGCGCATTGCCATGGGAAAGTTTGCTGTTAGGGACCTCTCCAAAATACTGAAGAGCAATGGTGTCTCTCTGGAGACTAAGGTGCATCTGATACAGGCCATGGTCTTCGCAATCACTTGTTAAGCATCCGAGAGTTGGGCAATGACCAAGGAGGATAGACGGAGAATTGATGCCTTTGAGCTGTGGTGCTGAAGAAGAGTATTGAGAATACCATGGGCTGCTAGGAAAACAAACAGATTTGTCCTGGAAAGGGTTAAACTGGGTGGCTCCTTGGAGGCAAGAATTCTGAGGCTCCATCTAACATACTTTGGACATGTTGTGAGGAGAGACCGGTCCTTGGAGAAGGACATCATGCTTGGGAGGGTGGAGGGACAGTGCAGGAGGGGAAGGCCCTCTATGAGGTAGATTGATTCAGTGACTGGGATAATCGGGATGGGAGTGTCAGAGACGGTGCGATTGGCACAGGACAGAGCGGAGTTTAGGGTTGTTGTACACAGGGTCACTACGAGTCGCAAGCGACTCGACGGCACATAACAACAACAAACAACAAGCTGTCACTTACTGCTAAATAGCAATACAAGGGCCACCTGGGAAGCTTTTCATGGCACAGATTCCTTGGCCTCATTTCTAGGGAGTCTGTTAGATTTATTATGGGAGCATGTTTGTTTTTAAATTTAAGGATAGTTCCTCCAGCCTGGTTTTTCTTCCTCTTCTTCTATTCATGTCATATCTCCTAACAGAACAGCTCATTACTGAGGGGTCTAGGAAAATGGCAAAGCATCTTAACTATCCCCAGTGAAGCCAACAGGGGCCGCTTACATCCCTCCCCATTCCCTAGGATCGTAGATCTGCCTTCCCAGTGTGCTTAAACTCCTCTTGCTACATGCAATATCATCCTAAAAGATGCTCCCTCAAACCTCTCAAGGCTCTTGCATCTTCCTTCCTATTCAAGCCCTACCTATTCTATGGCCCCTCCTACCCCACCCTTCTCTTCTAAGGACCACAGAGAAGATACTGGTCTCAGACAAGGGCTTTATGTGTTTCAGACCACAGATAAGCGGAAGGCTCTGGAGGAGACCATGGCCTTCACTACCCAAGCACTGGCTAGTGTGGCTTACCAGGTGGGCAACCTGGCTGGGCACACTCTGCGCATGTTGGATCTGCAGGCGGCCTCCCTGCGGCAGGTGGAGGCCCGTGTGAGCACGCTGAACCAGGTAGGGTGGCGGGGAGGCTTCGTGCATTAACCCCTGACTTTTCAGAGCCTCACTTGGACCTTTTTCTTCAGCAGTAGCCTCTCCATGCCTTCTCTCCAAAGGCCTGGCTAATAGGTTAGCACTTCCCAACAAGCATCTGAAGTCGTCCCCCTGACTAGGAGTTTCTTGAAGTTTTTCTTTCCCTGAATTCTAGTCTGCAGCTAGGAAGCTGGCTCTACCAATCACAGGCCTGCACAGTACACAGGAAAGAGGGGAATTTACTCTTTCCATCTGAAGACAGTGACTGGAAAATTGTCTTCAAGTCAGCAGAGCTCATTTTGGCAAAGATATATTCAGCGCCCTGGAAGCCCTGCCACCACCATACAGTGGTCCTTCTGGCGTGTGCACACACACACACACACACACACACACCACACCCCACACCCCTTCCTTTCTGGATCCTCCACCCAGGAATTGCCTCAGAAAACACATACACAGAGCAGCTACACATTTTGCCTCTGCCTGTGTATCAGCTACATGTCCAGTGTGTGCAATGTGTCTTTCCCTTCCACTACAGACATTCCAAGAGGAAGTTCATTTATTTGCCTCCCAAAGAGAACTGGTCCACTAAGATCTGCCATTTGCACTCCCCTGCTCCTGAGCCAGCCCACTGCTCCAGCCTCTTCCCTGCTTCCCCAGGGATTTTATGTACACACTCTCTCTACCGCCTGTTCCGGTTAAGCTAAGAATAACCCCCATTCACCTCCACCAGGAAGTTGCTCCAAAGTGGCTCCATCCTCTCCAGCTACTCTTTTCCCCAATTGTTCTGCAGCTTTGGGGTCAAGGTTCACTCTCTCTGCCTCTCTTGTCATCTACCCCCACCCAAAGGTCTCTATGGGTCAGATGTCCCCATCACCACCACCCTGTCATGCAGATGGTGAACATGCACATGGAGAAGGTGGCCCGCAGGGAGATCGGCACCCTGGCTGCAGTCCAGCGGCTCCCCCCCAGCCAGAAGATCATAGCTCCCGAGAGTCTACCAGCCCTCACGCCGTACTACAGGAAACCCCTCAACTTTGCCTGCCTGGATGACATTGGCCATGGGATCAAGGTAGAGGGGCCCTTGTCCTTTCCCTGGTACCTCCCTTTCCCTGTCTCCTGCTACCTGTCTCCAGGGCCCCAGCTCGCATCCATTTTTGCGTCTCAAACTGGAGCCTTTCTTTCCCCACTCCAAGCAGACCCCCTTCTTCTCAAATTCTGTGATTCCCTCATGCCCTTCCTCCATTGCTAGCCTTTACCCTGTACTCAGAGGATCTGCTGAGCATGGCATCCTGAGGGGCCCCTGCTCCCCTTCCACTGTGGGTGCTGGGTGTGAAGGGGAAGAGGGAGCAGGGAGGATGTCAGGGTGAGTATGAGAACGCTCCCCAGCCACATGAGAACAGCAACTTCCTCTGTCTGGGGGTTTGAGGTCATCGCCCTAAGAATTCACCCAGAGCCGCTGTGGGTGAGAAGAGGCACTCAGAGGGGATGGGGGGAATGGGGTGTGCCTATCTCTGGCATTTCCTAGGCCCATCTTCTCTGAGTTGGGAGAAGGCATACTACTCACTGCATGCTATCAACTCCTCTCTCTATTCCACATTAAATTAGAAGCTACCTTTCCCCCTCCACTCTTGTACAATATACATTTCCCATTAAACTCTTTATGTTTCAGCTCAGATCTTTTTTGTCTTGCTCCCAGAGTACAGCTCCCAGAGAACGCCTTGCTCCCCATCCCCAACCTCTAAGAAGGGGAGCCCCATTAGTAACATGCCACTTAGGCACTGCTAAGCCCCTCTCTGCCTTGAATTCCCCAAGGTGAGTGCCACAGGCCTGTGAAAATAAGAATATTTTAAAGCCATGTGCCCTCTCCCATCAGGACACTGGGTTTGAGGTCTAATCAGACTTAGGGACCACCAGGCTGGGCTTGCAACTGCCCGGGACTCTGAGACGGTTTAGGGAGGTGTGGAGATGGTGGATCCGCTCAGCCGGCTGTGGCTCTGCAGAGGAAGCGGCCACCAGACGGTGTCTGAGCCTGTAGGCTGAGGACTGAGGCAGCTTAAGGCCCGGGGCACAGCCCAGCGCAAGACACGGGCAGCGGGCTGCGAGTGGCAACTTGCTGTGGCCGCATTCTCCCTCCCAGTCCTCGTCTGCCCCTTCCCCACTGGCCCCACCCGTTTCCTCCTGGGTATGGGAGTGGCAGACAGTTGTCAGCCCACCTCCCCTCCCTTGCAGGACTTGAGCACACAGCTGTCGCGGACCGGGACACTGTCTCGAAAGAGCATCAAGGCGCCTGTCACACCTACATCAGCCACCCTGGGGTGAGGCTTCGCTGGATGCAAAACAACGTGCCCTGTTCTATCCTACCACTCTACTCCTCCACCCATGCCCCCACGCCCGGCGCCAAACTTCCTTCTCCGCCAGCTGTCCCCTCCTCTCCACATCCCTTCCTGGCCTCAGCCGCCTCTGCTGCTCACACTCCTTCCCAACCACCCACCCAGGAGGCCGCCTCGGATCCCCGAGCCTGTGCAGCTCCCGGTGGTGCCCGACGGCCACCTCTCCGCCGCTTCGTCCATCTCCTCTCTGGCCTCGGCCGGGTGAGCCCACCAGGCTGGGTGATGGGTGTCTGAGAGGGGCCACCTGATCATCATACTACTGGGGTTCAGCACTCAGATCACAGGGGCAGTGGGGACGGGGTCAGTTGGGGGGCTCTAGAGAAAGACTCCCCCAACAGAGCTGAAACCCTTTCTCTCTGGTCCTTCAGCAGCGCCGATGGTGTTGCTGGGGTCCCTACGACCAAGGGACAGGCAGTCCCTCCACCTCCGCCCCTTCCCAGCCCCATGGTCCCACCACCACCTGCGGCTGACTTCCTGCTGCCCCCTCCGCCAGAGGAGCCTGCCCCGCCCCCACCGGGTAAGGACATGCCCCCCCCCCCCTAGCTGCAGTGAAGGCTGCCTCCAGGCGGAGGTTAACAGTTGGTGGAAGGCTCCCATACCAGGCCCTTATCCGTTCTTTCATTCAAATGTAAGGTTACTCTCCCATTTAGCAGAGAACCTGAGGCTAAGAGGTTACATTAAGTTCCTTGCCCAAAGGTCACTCAGCTATTCTACAGGCAGCCTAGTTTGCAAGGGCTGATTCAGTCTTAGTGGCTGCAGAGTGAGTGCCAGGAGTTATGGAAGAAGCTGGCTAGCGAGGGCTGGAGGGAGATTACTTAGAAAGGAAAGGGCCAGGGGGGTCCTTAGACCTCTAGGTGTAGCCTTTCTGCTTTTCCTCCTAGTTCTTGAGCTGCCCCCGCCGCTGGACCTGCCCCCACCTCCACCACTGGATGCAGAGGAATTGGGGCTGCCACCTCCACCACCCCCAGGCTTTGGCCCTGAGGAGCCCAGCTGGGTTCCAGATTCCTACTTGGAAAAAGGTACCTGAGCGCCGGGGAACTGGCGCCACCAAGCGATAGGTGTGTGATCCTGGCCTCTACAGCCTTGCCCATCCCTCATTTGGTATGAGATGTTCTCCCTCTGCACTGTCAGCCACAGCCACACACGTTCTCAGAACTATTTCAGAAGCTGGAGCAGGGAAAGTCCGATAATCCAGCATCTTGCTTGGGGGGGGGCATCTGACAGCATCCTCTCTCCCCATCTTGCAGTGGTGACGCTGTACCCATATACCCGCCAGAAGGACAACGAGCTCTCTTTCTCGGAAGGCACCATCATCTGCATCACGAGACGCTATTCGGATGGCTGGTGTGAGGGAGTCAGCTCTGAGGGGACTGGATTCTTCCCAGGGAACTATGTGGAGCCCAGCTGCTGACAGTGGGGGACTCTCAGGCCTCTGACCTAGGCTCTGCTGTGCCAAAAAGTGCACCTCCATCCAAAGCCACAATCTCAGCTGGACTAGGCCTGCCCATTTCTTGGGTTTTGTGTTCTGGGCCCCTGGGGGTGGAAAGAAGAGATACCCAGAGACCAGCTGCCAAAGACTGGAAGTCAAGGGATTTAGATGATCTTGTCTGCAGAGGTCAACGCAGGCAGGATTTCCAACTCCAGGTGCCAACTTTGAATAAAGCCGTGATTGACCTCCGGATGGTTGCCTGGCAAGGCCTGGGGAGGGGGGAGTTTGCTGAGGAGGAATTTAAACCGTCCAAGTTCTACAGGCTCCTGCTAATTCTTGAGCTTCCTTCAGCTGCCCCAGCAGCAATAGTGTTGCCACCTTACCCTCCTCAGTCCCTTCTGCACTCAACCTCTAATTTCCTACGGGATGGCCTACACCATATACTCTTTTGCTTTGAGGCTTGCTGAGCTTTCTGTATCTTCTTGATTCCTGCAGCTGGACCACCTCCCACACCTAAGTGGAGATCTCTGCAAATAGAGACCACTCCCACCTCACCCTTCAGAATGCGACGCAAGAGACCTCAGTCACCTCGTCCCCCGTCACCTCCTTTATAGCTCTGAACACCAAAGAGAAGCTTGGGCTCTGTTGGTTCTGCTTAAAAACATCATGGCTTTCTGTTCCATACGGGAGGAGGGGTGCTGAGGGCCGAGCCCATGGGGGCCACTTTGGTAAAGTCCCTGGTATCTTGCTGCATAGAGGAGCCTGGGGTGCGAGGAGATAAGCATTAAGGTTCTTTCGTTGGTCAGACTGGAGTTGGGAGATGCGCTACCTCGTTCTACCACCAGGGGGCGATTGTTTCATCGAGTTCCCCCCCCCCTTTTAGGGGTGCTGGAGGGTGGCAGAGAAACTGAGGCAAGAAGGCTGCAGCTCGTACAGAAATGGTGTGCAATCGAGGTGGATGAAGCAAGATGGAATAGGCCTGAGGCCTTTGGCGCAGAAATCATTCTTTCTCTTAGAGGAGTTTGTTGGGGCTTTGGTGATTGGGTAATTTGAGGATTTCGGGACCCTGAGTCTCCTTGACAGATGACTTGGGAAGGAGAGGTTAGGGGCTGGAGGCAGCAGCTAATTAAAGCAGTGGGTGATGTTCCTTCTCTCTGCTGCCGGAGAACCCCTTCCTCCCAACTCAGGGGACAAGGTTTTTGGAAACGCTGTTGCTTTACAAGGTTATGTGCATCATCTCGGCGGAACAGGCTCCGGAATGTGACTGCGTGCAGAGGAACCAGGGTAGGCGGCCGAGCTGGCTTAACTGCATAGATTGTGACCGCTCTGAACCCCCTCTCTGCCTCCTAAATGGAAAAGGTCTGGAGGGGCATACATACCAAAGCGAGGGGGGAAGGGAACAACATTGGGTTTGGCTTTCCAGATCCCTGCCTCTCCTGCACCAGGGATGCCCCCTTGTGGGCTGCCACCCTCAGCACGTCTTCAGCACCTGCTGCAAATGTTGACGCACGTCGGCTGCCGTCTTCCAGGGCACCACGGTGGCGCGGAAGGAGCTGGGCTCGGTCTTCTGCGCCTCCTGAATTAGGCGGTGCATGGGGTAGCCAAGGCGCGGGAAAGCCACGTCGCCGCCCGCCAGCAGCCCCATGGGGCAGAAGTCGTTGGCGCCGTCGCCCACGTAGAAGAGGCGCTCGAAGTGCACGCCGTCGTGAGCCCTCTCGCGCAAGTAGTCGCTAAGCACCTTGTGCTTGCACATGTTGGCGGGGCAGCGCGCGCAGCTGTGCGTGTGGAACGGCCGCAGTGTCAACAGGCCCCGCGCATCGGGGCCCGATGGGTTGCTGATGATGCGACGGAACAGGCCGTGGTGGCCGGCAGCGCGCAGCGCGCTTTCTATGCCGAAGGTGTTGGCATCGGAGATGAGAATAACCTCGAAGCAGGCGCCCTGCTTGGCTACAAACTGGAGCAGGTCGCCCATGCCCGGAGACAGGGGGATGGTCTCGTAGACGGCACGCAGGTCCCGAGGCCGCACGCCCTGCTCGCCCAGGTACTTGAAGACACGCTGCATGTACTCGTTGTAGAAGCCCTCGCGGTAGGTGGAGCGCAGGCTCTCCGGCAGCAGTTGGCCCGGCGCGGCGCGCACGATCGAGTCATCGCTGTTTTCATCCACAATGGTCTCATCGAAGTCGAAAGTCAGGAGGAAGCGCGGAGCGCCCTGCGCGGCCATAACGTCCTGGGAGCGGGGAGGGGAGCAGGAGGAGGAGGAGGGGGCAAGCAAGAGTGGGCGCGGCGGCAGCCGGCCGGGAAGAGGCTGGTTAGCAGGCCGCGGCCAGAGGCGCTGGCATATCCAAGACCTGAGGAGGACCCAAGACGGGTTAAGCTGGCCCGAGTACCCCACATACCCGCCACTCCCACCCCTGCCAACCGCCCCAGTCCACCCTCTTGATTCTCAGTCAATCGCCCTGGAGTGTACTGCTCAGTGAAGCCATCCTCCAGCTGCCCTAAAAGGGTTGCCGTGGAAGTGGTTTAGCTGCTCTCTTGGGAATGGCCAGGTGTTATGAGCAGTTTAAGCATAAACAGCAAAATTGCTGCCAAAATTAATACATTTCCTTATACTTAAACTGCTCATAACACTAGGACTCACAGCAAGGGAAGAACTTAAAGGAAGGGAAGTGTGGCCTCCAGGAGATTACCCTTTTTCGGGGGTTTCCACACTAGCCTTTATGGAGACAGACTCCCTAGTTCTGGCATAAGTAAGGGAGGGTGGAGGGAACGCCGCTTCTTCCTTGCCTAATACAACTCAGTCAAAGAAAACCACCCTTTGGCCTGGTTCATTCACTTTCTGAGTGCTGGGAAATGGATGGTTTATGGGACAATGAGGAGCCATGCTCCAGAAGGTGGCTTTGGCATCCTCTAAGAACAGTGCACAAATGAGAGCCAGTTCCAGAGGGGAGAGATGGGCACTGAGTCCCAGGCCTGAAAGGGTTAGGTGTCTGGACTCACTGTCACAGAACAGGATTGGAACCCTTGGTTTAACCAGGCAGGTGGACTGATGACCCAGGAAGACCCAGGGAGGTTCTCTGGGAGTTTCCAGGCAGATACAGGGTAGTTTGGGGTCCAGGGAAGGTCACGGCTTCAAGAATTTCCAGGGCCCTGTGCTAACAGCTCATCTCTAAATCACTTGCCAATTCCCTGGGAGGGACTTGTCAGCAAGTAGGGTCCGAAGCAAGCAGGCAGCAGAAGCAATGGGGCTAGGGGAGGTGGGAGCCCCCAGCATCAAGCCACGGCACACCTGGGAGACAGGGGGGGGGGAGAGTGAGCAGCTATGGCTGAAAAGGAAGTGGGAGGGAGCAGGGAGAATGAGGTAGCAGTGCAAAAGGATGACCATGACATGGGAAGATGGGGACACACAGCTGGACAGGAAGACGGGAGGACTCCCACAAACTGGAGTCATGTTGACACGGAACATGCGAGAGGACTAAGGACAAAAGGGCAAGTGTGAAACCACAAAGACAAGCAAGTGGAGAAAGCAGGAGCCCCCAGCAGTCTGTCCCTGTCACCTTTGCCTGCCAGCAGTTTGTGGTGTGTGTCAGAGGCAGAACACAGCTTCAGAATACCTATGGATTGGTACATCTTGTGAAATAGAAGTCCAAGTTCCTAATTATAGAGCTGACATTTGAACCTGGCCATGGACGGACGGACGGATGGATGGATGGATGGATGGATGGATGGATGGATGGATGACACAGTGACTCCATAATGGACTTGAGCATAACAGGTGGTGAGAATGATGAATGGTAGTTGACTTGACAGCACCTAACAACAACATCCCAAAGGAGCCCTTGTGGCTGAACGAATAGGACTGCTAACGAATAGGTCAGTAGTTCAAATCCATCAACTGCTCCAAGAAATAAAGATGAGCACTTTTCTGCTGTAAAAAATTCACAGCCTCAGAAAGCCAGTGGATGGTCACTGCGAGTCAGAACTGAATCAACAGCAGTGGGTTGGGTTTGGTATCAGCCTCCGAAGAAATCATGGTAGCGCAGTGGTTAAGTGCTCAGCAGCCAATGGAAAAGTTGGCAGTTCAAACCCACCTACTGCTTTTCGAGAGAAGGATGTGGCAGTTCTACTCTGTTCTGTGGAGTAACTATGAATCAGAAAAGACTTAAAGGCAAAGGAGTACGTCCCTTTGCTCTTATCCTCTGGTGTCATCCTCTGGTCTCACCAATATCCAGCTGGAGTCCCCATGGCACAGGGTCCCTGAACTTGAGAAGCATCTGACTCTCATTCCTGGGATGGATGCTGCTGGGATTTGTGGAGCCCCAGTAGAGGGGAGAGAAAAACTCAGAGGGCAACCTGGACTGTGTGATAAGAAAGTGGGGGCAGAAGCCTCATTTTAAAGGTTGGAGGGACCTACTTACCCTAGACAGGCATCGAAGGCCAACAAGTGGAAAACACCCGCTCATTGTCAATACATCACCCTGGGCACCACCTGTATAGATGCTGTTGGCTTCCAGTCGTCCAGAGCTGCTGACAATCACACAAGGTCCATTTGAAGTGGGCAGCCAGATGATTTTGCATCTAACACTAATGCCTACCTAGGCCCAGCCTCCCCTACCCTTTTGTATTCTGAGCCTGGGAGGAACCACTCCCAGGGTCTCAGCAAAAGCAGCTCTCCAAGTAGACACAGCACTTATACACCGCAAAGCATCCTCTTAGCAATTCCCTATGATGCTGGAGATGTTATAGATGACATTATTGGAAACCCAGTGAGGTTAATTGACTTGCCCAAAAATCACCCGCTGGAAATGACAGAGCTCTCTGGCTCAAACCTGGCAGGTTTTGAGGCAGAGCTCAAAACAAGAATGGAATTTTTTTTTCTCTAGTAAATTCATTAGTCCTTACACATATATAGTACGTTCCCATTTGCAAGGCATCTTCACTGTTTAAAGTCCCCAGAGTTCAGCAGATGAGAAAACTCAGAGTGATTAAATATCCTGTCCAAGACCATGCTGTCTAGGTAGGGCAGAAGAGTCTTTGTAAATGCCTGGAAACACTTTTCATTTTTATTGAACCACAGCTAGGACTTAAACCTGGGTCACACATGTAGCCTGGGACTGGCCTCTCAGCTACTCTCCGGGGTTCAGTAAGCAGAAGACTTAGATTTAAATCTCCGATGGACTTTGAGGATAGTTTTCCTTCTTGGGACCTTCACCAATGCTGCTCTAAAGAATGCCCACTTTCCAGGTTGAATGAGAGAAGAGGAGGCAGCTGGGGCAGAATTGGAAAAGACAGAACTAGGAGGCAGGACCAAGAAAGGAGAGAAATCTGGCTAGCTGCTGCCCTCTGGTGGTCGTAATGGACATCACAGCCAACCTCTGACTTTGTCAAGGTGACACTCTGCCCAGACCACCCTTAAGTGCAATGCAATAAGGAAAAAGGTCTTAGATCCCGAGACAAAGGCTGGATAGGGGAAGGGCTGTGCTGCCTTCTATCTTGAAGTGCTCAATCCTCCAACACTCCCAGGTAATATATGTATTGAAACCCTGCAGATGGGGATGGAATGCAGAGCTCATTCTTTCCTTGAACTTTTAATCTAGGAATTGGGAGAAAAAGCCCAAAAGGAATGAGGCACTGGACAAAGAAGAGTCTGGAAGAGACACAAGGGGAGAAGAAGGGAGAGCAGGGGAGGAGGTATAAGTCACAAGGTGGGGAGTGTGGGAGGATTGTCCCCAGGCTGTTCTGGAGGGTTTCTCAGCCTTCCCAAATCCTAACTGATAATTACTCCTCTGGTGGAGTCAGCCTTGTCAGGAGAAAAAGTCGAGGATGCCACTCCCTACAAACAGGGACCAGCACGTGTGGGCCACATGGAGAACTGTGGGCAGATACAAAGGCGACACAGTCGTTTCCAGCAACCATCCAGAGACCAAATTTCATGCCCTAAAAGGATAGTCCCATGACTACCCATTTCTTTTTATCTTACAAAACAGAAAGCCAGTTCTCCTAGTTTTTTTAATCCCATTCCTCAAAACCGAGTGCCTCACACAATTGATTGATGCCACCACTACCCAGGCATGACTTCCCAGTCCTCAGCGTCCTTTGTGAAGTTCCAATAGTTTACTCACCTCTGACAGTTCTGTCACTGGTGATCAAATCTTGTAGTCACCAGGAGTCCTCTTAGAGAAGAGGCCAGTGCCAGCCGGATCTGAGAGTCCTCTGAATGCTAGAGCAAAGGAGGAGAGGTTTCTGGGAGGTGGAAGAGCAGACTTATCTCTGCGGGACTGGGATAGCTGGCTCTCCTGGAGATGGGCTGGGGGAAGAAATAAATACCTCTGGGGCTAGGCCTTAAGTTAGAAATCCTCTTTTATTGGATGGTGGGTGGAGTCCACAGTTTTCCACCAAAAACAAGGAGGGCGGGGATGGGAGAAGCCCTATCCTATATAGTCACTACCAGTCTGAACCAACCCATAGCTGACCTGCAAATGGGTTTTCAGAGGCTCTAACTGATAAATCCCAGGCAATAGAGTTCCCACATTTCCCCTTCAGGGTAGCTAGTGGTCTTTGAACCTAGGTGATGGGAGGGAAAGAATCCTAAAATACCAGTTACTAGTCCTTTCTGTCCAAGACCACATTTCTTCTCTCACTAGAAATCAGACCCAGTGCTAAGCTGGGATTTTCTTACTGATCATCTCCCAGCAATAGGAAAGGAAAGCATCCTAGGAAAAGATGCCCAGAGAGGTCTTAACAGTGTGGGAGTCACACAGCATCAGAATCAGGATTAGAACTCAGGTCTCTGGTGGTTCTTGGTAAAATTGCAGCCAAAGCCTCCCCTCCCCCCCCCCCATTGCTCTAAAGATATTTCTGGGCTGTGAGCTGATTTGAGATGAATATCTGATGGTGATGATGGGGTGCCAGTGAAGAAGCTCGGGCCAAGAGTCACCTCCAGTGCACTCTGATTGGACTGGACAAGCTAGGGTAAGGGTAGGCTCGATGGAGAAGGGCAGGGAGGTGGCAGCTGGGGGCGGGGTGGGGGGGGAAGTTATTTTTAGAGGTGGCTGGAAAGCCTGGGCACTGTGGCACAGCCCCAGCTGGCGGGTGCCTCGTTACAATGCAGGGTAGGGGGTTCATAGATCGGAGAGAAGAGGGGATTCGTGGGTGGCAGAGCAAGGGGTTGCCTATACCTTTAGTCAGGAACGAGATTTCAGTTGGAGTTGGCTGAGAGAGCTACTCAGGCACCATGTTCCTAGGGTAGAGAAGAGAAGGGGACTCACTCCTCTGTTCCAGGGGCTCCCTCTATCTGACATTCGCCTCCAGGAGTACCCTCAAACTCCACACTGCCCCCGCCTCACCTGAGATCCCGACCCTCTTACCTCTCGGAGACCGGGACTCAGCGATGGCAGCGGTTTGTCCCGGCTGAGTTTAGAGCGTAAGGGGTGAGGGAGACTAGCTGAGGTATTTGGGCGCAGGATGGAGCAAGGGGTGCTTACGGGAATTGGAAGGGATGCAGTGTCTTACCCACCCCTGGGTTTTGGGGTTCCGGCTCACAAATCCCTCCAATCCGGAGGGGTTGTGGACGATTTGCGCCTGGGCTGTCCCCTCCACCTGCCCCCCATCCCCCCCGGACGGCCGCAGCGTCCCCTTTAAATGCCGGGGAGCCGGAGCAGGGGACGGCGCTGCGGCTGCTGCAGCACCGGGGCCCACCGCAGTCCCCGTACGTCACAAGCGACTGTCCAATCACAGCGGCGTCAGCGCACATCAAAGGGGCGGGTGGCCGGCGGGACACGCCTCCCGGCTCTCCCCGGGGCTCCCCGAGCGGGAACGAAAGTGGGATTGGGCGCGTCGGGAAGAGGTCGGAGGGTGCAGATGGAGTGCATCCCTTTAGACTAGTGTGGGTGGGGAGCACCTTATTCTGTTAAATGCGGACGTGTTTTAACTCCTTCCTTCACACCCGAAAGTGTTGGGGTTGTGGACTTTTCTCCGTCGCTGCCTTCAGAGCTCGGGTCCCGAAGATTTGCCCAAATGCACCCCCCACCCTCTGCCCGCACCCTGTTCTTCGCTTGTAAGCTGAGTGGTATGACCCAGCAGTTCCTCTCCCACGTGCGCACGGCTTGGTGCCCTCTGCCCTCCAGGCGGAGTCACAGCGCCTCGCTGTGGCCCTGGGGACCCTTCTCCCAGGTTACAGACGAGAGCCGGGAAGGGAACTCGTAGGCTTGCCCACCCTAAATTGGGGTAAATGACTGTTTGCCCCTTTGCAAAAGGCGCTGTTAAGCGAAAGACACTCTTTTCTCTGCTTAAGAGTTCATTCCTAATTTCCCCAAGTCGTGCGACAAGCTTGCATCTTCTAGGACTCGAGCAAAACAGCACTGGTGGCAATAATAAAGCTCAATTTTGATAGAGATTTAAAAAAAAAAAAAAAGAGTTCATTCCTAGCCCCACTACTCCTCGTTGCTCTCCTGTGTTTGGAGGAAGGGAGAAGTTTGTGCTTAGGGTGGAAGGAGACAAAAGTTCTATTTACTGAGTGTACACACAGAGTCAGACGCCGTGTTAGGTGCTGTACAGCGGTTGAAATACACAACAGTCCAGAAAAACCATTTGCCCAAGAATCCCAGGCCAGGCACCCTTGATTTTCTCATGTCAAAGGGTGGACTGCTGGAGGATGGTAGGTGCAGCCAGGTATTAATTGAATCCTTTTCTACATCCTGACCTCCCTCAAGGCCAAGAGGCCTTGAGGAGGATCTGAAAGATTCTCAGACTGCAAATCTTTACAAAGCGGGGTGTGTGTGTGTGTGTGTGTGTAAAGATGACGATGAGTTTGGAGAGGGCACAGGGGGTGGAAGTCAGCAAGGAATGACCCTACTAACCTCTGTGATAGGGACTGGAGGTCCCATTCATAAATAAAATAAACATGGCTCATCCCCACATCTAAAAAGGGGACTTGTTGCCATTGTGTTTTACTAAGTTTCTGAGTAGGTTCCAACACTCCAGGGCTAACCTGTTACCCAAGGACCCCTCACAAAAGACAGTGTCTTTATGTGCTGTTAAGTCCAGAACTGACTCATAGCTGACCCTTCAGAGGCAGTAAATCTCCCAGGAATTTATTGTCTATCTTTCTCTCACAGAGCAGCTGGTCTCAAACATTGTACCTTTGGGTTGGCAGAGCAGCTCCTTACCACTAGACCACCAGAGCTCCTGCATAAAAGGCAATCAATAATTCAAAACTTCAGACCTGAGGCATGAGACACAACAGATGAATGCACTTGATGCCATTCAGTTCTACATGTCAAGAATGATGATACGGCAAATGCTTTGTGGGGTACATATTTACTACAATTAAACAACAACAACAAAAACTGCACCCTGGGCACGTCACTGCCCCCTCTTAGAGGAACACCCAACACCCCAACTCCTGTAACTGACTTGCTGTTCTCACTGCTTCTCTTCCCTCCTCACCTTCGCTCCTCAGTGC